GGGAAAAAAATTCTTTTGGGGGAGGGAGGGGGAGACCAAAGCTGTTGAGCAAAAAAAAAAAAGAATGATTAAGCAATAAAATAAAATAAAAACAGCATTAAAACAGCATGTCCCTTTCAGTGCATGCAGATTAGGGATAGAAACAGGGGAGAGGTTGAGCACTAAGACCCAGGGAAGGCAAAATTGCTTCCCCTTGATCTTTAGGCTTTTTGCCAGCGGCCATTTTCTTTTCTTGATCAAGCCAGAACACAGCTTCCCTGCAGAACCAGGTAAGCAGGGTTTTTGGGGGTAGGGGCTGTCAGGAGGCCGGGCCCAGTTGCCGAGTGTGTCGTAGGGTTGCCAGGTGTCTAGTATTTTTGCCTCCTGGCAGGGAAAAAACCAGAAAATACCGGACATTTTAGGTGTCTGGTATTTTCTGAATTTTTTTTCTGGATAGGAGGCGAAAATACCGGATTGTCTGGGTCAATACCAGACACCTGGCAACCCTATTTGTGTGATGTAGTTATATAGATTGTTTCATAAGCTTTGTTTTATAGCAACTGCTAGGTATTAAAATGTATTTTGTATTACAAGTTATTAAGAAATTGTTTATAGAATAAACTGTTTTTCAACATTGTAAGTTTGTAAGAAATCTTGCCTGTCCCACTATAAACAGATCTCACCCGCAGAGCCCGCCATCCCCACCCACAAACTCTTAAATCTCAGCTCAGGGCGGCTCACTCGGACTCTCTCTGAGCGCCGGGATGTTATACTGGAGCCAAGCTTCGCTTGAGCCAAACAGACTGGTGCACACTGCAGCTTTGGTCCCAGTTTGCAGGGTAATGTCTGAAGGTACTAAGGGCTGAGCACTGCAGAGGGGGTGCTCCGGGGGCTAGGGTGCTGATGCGTACCTCTAGGGTTGCCAGATGGTTTAACCAAAAATACCGACCCCTCCCCCCAAAAATTGGGAAAAAATTCTGTTGAGGGGGAAAAAATGGGTGTGTGTCTTTCAAGGTCCCTTCCAGTTCTAGGAGATAGGCAATATCCATTATTACACTTTAAGGAAAGTTTTTAGGCTTTTTGCCAGTGTCCATCTTGTTTTCTAGATCGGAGCCAGAAGGCAGTTTCCCTGCAGAACTAGGGGGCCTCCTGGAGATGCGGTGCGGGGGCTGGGCCTGGTTGCTGAGTGTGTGTAGGATTGCCAGGTGTCTGGTATTTTCGCCTCCTGAAAGGGGGGGGGTGCAGAAAAATCAGAAAATACTGGTCACTTTAGGTGGCTGGTATTTTCTGAATTTTTTTTTTTTAAACCAGACAGGAGACAAAAATACTGGACGCCTTGCAACCCTACTTACCTCTGCATCCTTGCCTCAAAGAAACCAGACAGGAGACAAAAATACTGGACACCTTGCAACCCTACGTACCTCTGCGTCCTTGCCTCAAAAAGAGCAAGGCTTGTGGAAACCTGAGGGAAGTGCTTGTGTGGCAAAAGGCTGGTGGTTACAGTGGGCTGAGTCCACACTTGCAACTGATCAACAAAACTTTTGTCGTTTGTGGGTGCTTAAATATCCCTCTCTCCAAACAGTGGTATGCGCAAGTGTGCCCACAGCACAAAGCGAAAGCTGCTCGTGTGGGCTAGAGATATTGTGTCAGCTAAAATGCATTCCCACGGGCCGACGTTTAGCAACAGGGCCGCTAGAAGTGGCGTGGGATGGACACCGCCATAGTAAGCGGCAGGAAGGGCCTCAAAAATCTGGGTGGCCTGAGGGACTCTGCTCCATAACCCTCTGCCACCATTCGTGGCTCAACTGGGGAGAGCGATTTGACAAAAAAAGCGAGGCCACCTCCCCATGGAGAGGCCTGCGTGCTTGACTGTCTTGTGCCTCCAGCCCCACTGGCCTAAGGGACTGACTGAGCTCAGCCTCCATCTTGGCTGCTTCCCTCCCACCAAACTTCCAGCCCAGTTTGGGAGGAAGGACTTTCTTTTGACCCAGGTTTGTTCCTCCACTTATGTGACTGAGTGTAGCCCCCCAGAATCCAGGGCATAAGCCCCAAAGGGGGGGTGGGGACTTGTCTAGGCCTGTCAAAAGCAACATGTCCGGTCTTCCATGGGACTTGAAGTATCTTGTGAAACTTGTCTGTAGTTATTGAGACCCTCTACCACTTGTGTCCATGGAGTCCTTGCCCTCTGGGCCGGCAGAACAGAGCTCCAGAATCCCGGAAGCCAGCTCATCTTGTCCGACCTCGCAATGCAGACCTACTTTGTATTCTCCGCTGCTTTTCCCAGTCTCCTCTGAAGTGACGCAAGCATTCCCCACTTCCAATGAGAGAGGATTCTGCACCCTTACAGATCTCCCTGTATGGAGCGTTCCCTTGAAATCAGTGGCATTTTTCTTTTGCTGGATTTCATCCCATTTCCCCCCCACTGCTCCCGCAATTACACTTCCCTGGATCACCAAACTCCTCTGTCTCCTCGGTATCTATGCCGTTCATATACCTGACGATATTGACTGTTATTTCTCTTTGCCTGAGCGCCGTTAGCAGCTGCTCACTCCCACCCACCCCTAATTTAATCAACGCAGCAAAAATCTGCTCTCCCTTGCCTCTCTGTTTCATTTACATCTCTCTGCCCTTTAATAATGCCTTCCTCTCTATCAATTATGAAGAACCTGGCATAGATCATCCTTAGCTCTCTCATCCCCTCCCAGAATCGGGATGGAAGATAACGTGCTTTTATGCTAAAAATTGCTCCAAGCTATCAAGGTAAGCTCCAGATGGGGTTGGATGAAGGATTGAGAGAGACAGCAAGAAGCAACGCTATTTAGGTTCAAGGTAAGCTCCAGATGGGGTTGGATGAAGGATTGAGAGACAGCAAGAAGCAACGCTACCAAAATTCAGGTAGTTGAGCTCTGAGGAATTTGATTCCGGCCCCTCTCTAGTTTTCACAGTGGATAGTAGCAATCTGCTCTGAAACTCTTTATATACTAAAGAGCCATTTATAACTGGGCGGATTTGCACAGAGCTACAAAATAAACCTATTGCAAGTGTGAGCATATGAGCAGCCAGGTGGTTTTCTAAAGTCATAAGGAAAGGTCACCGCAGACCAGCTAACTCAAGGCTATGCTGCTGGGTTTGGGGCAGATCTATCAACTCCTTTTTGAGCGCCCATGTCTTGGTTCGTGAACACCTCACAATTGTCCCAACCCCCAGCGAGGCAGGGTGAAGTGCGGCTATCCCCCTTGAGACATCAAGCAGCTAAGCGACCCATCTGCTGTCCAGCAAGATGCCTGTAACAGCGTAGGACACTGAAACCTGGTCACCCCGGCTCCGGCGCTCACCACTGGATCATCCTTCCTCGTCCATCTTCAGCAGATGGACCTCAGCGCAGCTCGGTTGACTTCTTAGGAGCTGTGTCGCTTTGTGCCACTCTGGGATTTGGCCCATGTTTTAGATGCTCACCTTAATTAGAGGCCAGATTGAGGATAGACTGACTCATGCCTCCGTGTCGTCATTTGAAGTTCCTAGTTTTCATAGAATCCTAGAACAGGAAGGGACCTCGCGAGGCATCAAATCCAGTCCCCTGCCCTCGCGGCAGGACCCAGCACAATCTAGATCATCCCTGATCATGGTCATCTAGATCATCTCCGACAGGTGTGTATCCAACCTGCTCTTCAATCTCTCCAGGGATGGAGGTTCCACAACCTCCCTAGACAACTTATTCCACTGCTTAAGCACCCGGACAGGTAGGAAGTTTTTCCTGATGTCCAACCTAAACCTCCTTTGCTGCAGTTTAATCCCATTGTTTCTTGTCTTATCAACAGAGGCCAATGAGAACAATTTTTCTCCCTCCTCTTTATAACACCCTTTAGATACTTGAAAACCACTATCACGTCCCCTCTCAGTCTTTTTTTGGGTGCCTGCTGTGTTCCTGTTGCCTCATGCAATGCCGCCCTGGACTCAAGTGGAGAGCTGCATGCATCAAGGCTGAGAAGAACCTCAGGAGACGAGGATCCGTGACCCAGCAGTCATAGTTCAGGGCAACCGTACCTGTAACTCCCCCTTCATAGTCCAGCAAGAGCACCCGCCATCATGCTTCCGGCTTCCCAGCCATCATTTCCCTCGTGTGGAGATCCGCACCACTCCTCCTCTTGGCCAGGGCGGCCCCTGTTTGCACAACGCAATGCCTACACTGAATTCCCCAGCAAAAGGCAGACTGCCTCAGCAGCCCTGCTTTGCCTTCATTCCTCACAGGCTATAACCAGTGACTTCCCGGTTCTGAGCTACCACATGGAACTTTCTAAGCAAGCCCATTTATCCTCAAGGCAAAAGCACCGCAGAGAAAAACATTCAAAACGATCAAGGAACCTACACGCCTGCTAATCGGCTTCTCAGTGTTCACTTCCTGGTGAGTGGCCAGCCCATCAGACCCCAAGGTGCTTCTCTGACTTCCATCCTGGGGCTTCTGAACCCCGCACGAGGTGTTTTTCTGTGGTCACACATTCCTTGCAGCTCTTGGCTCCGAGCCAGCATGCTCCGGACCAGCGCAGTCCCTCCTTTATACAGCCCGAGTCTCTGATCTGCAAGTCACATAGCAAGGAGGTGGCCCCCCAGCTGGAGGGGACTGCCCTTCCCCCAGCTCTGGTCTCCATGGTACAGAGGATGTGGCTCTGGGCAGGGGGGGCTGTACACATGCAACACTCAGGGTTTACCGTTACCCCCATTTGTCTGGAGTTTGGAGTGAAGCTTCCCTAACGTCGGGTCTGGCTTCGGAGCCAGGCTATTTGATTGGGCCTTTGGCAAAGATGACCAAGCCGTGTATTTCAGATCCCGCAGCAAAACTCAACGGCTGCATTGCTCAGGGCGTTTGGAGCTGGGGTTTAGCACAGGCCTCGTAGATTTGTGTACCATGTTTCATAGCACAGCAGCACCCAAGGCAAGATCTTGGTCCTGGGTGCGAGGCACTGTCCATACACAGTGCATGACAGTCCTCTACACAGCCGAGCCAGGAGTACAACCCACCTTACCTGGCCCTTATTCCGGTGGCCCTTGCTGCCTCCCCTGGCTAAGCATTTCCATTTCCAAGGCGGCATGCGGGTGCCATGTCCACGGCTGAGTCAGACAGTGTCTACGGAAGGCCGTTGAAGCTGCAAGCCATCACATGTCAGCAGCATGTCCCTCTGTTACTTCCCGGAAAGCTGCGTGGTTTGATTGGTCTCTAAGGCACAGCCTTGGCTCACCCGGGGCAGGAGCCGCCTTGGAGTCTCAAACCTCGCAGCCCTCTGCCTGCATATTCCTCGCCTCTCTCCTGGCTGCCCGCATTGTGCTGACAGTTTCAGAGCTTGTTTTCCACTGCCTCCCCCAGGTCCCTTTCCTGTTCATTATTTCCCAACGCAGATTTATTAAATGGTACAGTGCAGTATATTACCTTTTCCTGCGCTTTGTCCCTCGCCTTATTATCTTCAATTGCTTCTCATTTCATTGCTTTGGTAGGATTATGTCCTGCCCTTAATGCTATTTTAATAGAGTTTTTGCCTCTAATTTCCTTGTCATTAAGTTATTGCTGTCTCCAGCTCATCAAAACAGTGTCATTTCCCACTCGGTCATAAAACTCCCTTTGAAATTAGTCGAGAAGGTAAGAACTTAGGGAAAAACGTCTGACTGGCGGCTCCATCCAGGAGCACCCTTCTGCGTGAATCAGGCAGTGAGTCAGAGGGCAGGCTCTGGGCCACCGAACCGTCTCGAGTTTCATGCAGGCCGAGCAGCATGAGGGCACGTTAAGGCAAACTGGTCAAAATGGGGTTATAAATGCAGGCCTTTCACTGCTATCTAACCCTTCCCTCTCCTCCCGGGGAATCGGCTGTGGAATTTGTTTCTCCTCAGCCCTTTGGACTGACTCGACAGCTGCACAGGGGAACTAGGTCCAAGCCAGGGGTGGGCAATAATTTTCACTGAGGAGGGGACCACTTAATGACTTTTGCTATGTGATTACAGGCTGGCTCCCCAGAAGAGGCGGGGCCCAGAGAGGAAGGGGCGGGGCCTGTGGACTAGCCTCCCCCCAGAGCTTTCTGGAGCAGAGGCTTTGAATTAAGAACACAGCAAAGTGCTTGTGGTTCCCGGTCCTGCCGCTTCGGTGTTGCCTGGCAGCTGCCCGGGGATGCTGTGGCTATTTAAAAGGCTCCCGACTTGGCCTCTGCCAGGGCAGCACCGTGATCGGGAGTCATTTACATAGGACCCTGCTGCCTGAGCCACCACCGGGAAATTCAGCAGCAGGATATAAATAGCAAGTGCGAAGTGGGGCCGCATCTCGCCCAGCCCTGGTCCAAGGGTACCTTGAGACTTTGCGCTGGGGACATATGGACGCTCAAAACAGAGCGTTGAGCAGAGGGGCCGGTCACACCTTGTCTTGCCCTGTCAGATACGAGGCACACAACTCAGGGCACCCAGGCCCTCCCGCGGCTGAGGCTGCCAGGGCTACCCTCTATTGTTAGCGCACCCGCTTGGGGAGCGCTTTGTGTGTGGACACAAAGTGCAGCTCAACCCACACACCCACGGGGGGCGGGCTGCTGTCCCAGGGAGCGGCCCGGAGCCCACTCACAGAGAATGGGTTTGCGCTGCAGCCTTGGCCGAGAGCCAGCTGGCTTTGTAGCGCAAGCCCTAGAGGCACCTGCTCCAGGACCCAGGTTCGGTTCTGCCCGTTGGCGTTACACAGGCAGGGGCGAAATCCACCCCCTTATCCAGGCTCCCCAGGCCTTACGTCTGGCTGCATGTCTTCCCGTGAGGCTGCAGCACGTGTCCTCCCCTATCCCCAAGTGGGGAGGGGTGAGAAATGGGCAGTGGCACAGACGTGGCAGGACAGGGCAGCGGAGCTGGGGCACAGAATACGGGCCCAGAGCAAATTATGCCCCACCAGCCTGCCTGACCGGGGCAGGAATTGGGACCTGTAGGAGAAAGAAAGAGCCGGAAGCAGGGGCCTGGTGCTTGAACCAAAGTCAGCAAGTGTTACAGACAGGCTGTGTGAAAAGCAGGCGTTTGCCTGCACGTCAGTGACTCTCGGCACTAGGGCTCCTAACAGGAAGTACATAAATACCTTCTAGCAGGACGGTGCAGGGACACCCAGCTGAGTACGTGATAAAACGGTTTGAAAGAAGAAGAGCGAAAGCATAGCAAGGGGGAAAGTACAAGGGGAGGTACCCACCGTGTCCCTAAATCCGTACAGTGTGTATCAGATTGTTCATTTCGGTCTATAAACCTCGGGGTACCTCAACTTAACTCCTTGGCCGGCCTGGGGGCGATAGTGAAATCTAGACTGAGCCGCGTCCATTGTCCCAGGTACAAATACATAGGGGCCCGGAAGCCATCTGGCTGCCAACAACACTTAACGCACTTTGTTCGACAATAAGCCCGACTCGGGTGCCTTCGTATCTAGTCCGAGTCTATGGTCTTTGCGGGGGGAGGGTCTCGTGAAGTCGATTGTGTGAGCTGCCTGCACAGAGCCGGCATGAGATACCGATGGAGCCTACGCAGACGCAGGCCGCCGAACGTTTATCACCACAGGGGACTGGTCAGGACGCCACCCCAGCGAATCCTGCATGTGCCGTATCACTGTCCTGAACTGCTACGGACCTGGTGGGGGAGAGGAGCACCGCCGAGGCCTTCTCTCAGAGCGCTGCAGCCCCTCTTCAGAGACCTGACGTTGCTTGTGGGTGGCTGCTCTGCCTTTTGCCGCAGTCACCTCCTTTGTTACTACCCTACACCAGGCCCTCAAAGTCACACGCCTCCCTTTGGCAAGCGTTGGCCAGGGAGGGCTGAGAAGAGCCCCAGGGGATGAGGATCCAGGACCCAGCAGTCACAGTTCAGGCCAACTGCACCTATATATTCCCTCCACCGTCCAGCAAGGGCAGCCACGGTCATGCTTCCAGCTCCCCGGCCATCACCGCTCTGGGGTGGGGACCCGCACCGCTCCTCCTGGCCAGGGCAGTCCCTGTTTGCACAGCTCCGTGCCTGCACCATGGGTTCCCCAGCAAAAGACGGACGGACCACCCCAGCAGACCTGCTTTGGGTGTACACACTTCCCTGACAGCCATGACTGGAGTAGGGGAGCAGGGATATACAGGCAATCCTGCCACTTGCAGAGCCAGACAGCAAAGCCCGGATGTAACTGGGTAAGGAAAGGTCTGCTTCAGCCAATGGACTAGGCTGTGGCTTGCTTCTGCCAGGAGAAGGGAAAACACCCTGGCTTCTCCTCTGGGCTCCAGCCTGCTGCCTAGAACTGCACCCCCCCCCCTCCCGCCGACTGGCTGCTCCCGAGCATGGGACTCTGGCGAGCAAGAAGGAAAGCTGTAATCCTCCCCGTCTGGCTCAGCTCTTCAGCTGCACCCACGCCCGCGCCTGGCCAGAAGACTAACCCCACCCCTGCTATGCCCCGGATGGGCTGGAGACGGATTTCACCCCAGGGGGCGTCACAGCAATGAACGGCTCGGATTCAATCTTACAGCCCCTGGGCTTTCTCTCATGCTCCTAATTGCCAGTATCGACTGCTAAAATGGGGTTTGCTGATTGAAAAGGAAGACGACTCGCCTGCCTGCCGTTTCACTAATAGAAAACCTCCCTGCATAGCTGAGCATCTCCTCCAAGGGGCCATCTATTACCCCTCATCACTCTGACTCCCCCCAACAGTTCAATTAATTTAAAGCTGGAGCCTCCCCCCTCTGCCCCCCCTGCCCCGTCCGCCCTTCGTAGTCCTAACAAAGGCCATTAGCATCCCCAGCTTCAGTTCGTGCTTGCTTCCAACTGAGCTCCTGTTTCCATCCCCTGGCTCTTCTGCTCCCCAGGAAAGAACAATTTCTGATGGGAGAGACCAGAGAAGCCGTGAAGCCCAGGGCTGAAAGCGTCCAACCACCCGCTAGCAAGAGAGGCATCCTCTCGGAAGTGGAGAGGCTCTCAGAGCCATTCGCAGCAGCATGCCAATTACACAGAGCGCATGAGACTAGTTCCCTAAGTTTGGCTTCCCCGCGCTAGCTGCACAGGCATGTGTGCATAGGGGAGCAGGGCAGAGAAGGCAGAGATGATAAGGACGCCTTCGATTGGATTCTGTGTTGCATCGGAACACAGCTCTGCTGGGGAAGAGTGGGAAACGGACACTCCCCCTGGGGTCAGCACATGTCTTCGTTACCATTGCTGCCCCATCACTGTTCCCCGGTGTGAAAACTTGGTGGGGCTCAGTCCATTTCTTAGCGGGGGAGCGGACGTCACAGTGGCACTGCCAAAATCAGAGATCTGGCTTTGTCTACACTACCAAGTGTTGTCTCCAAAACCTGCCTTTTGGAGACAAAACAGCGAGAACGTTCACCCTGCAAGACGACTTTTGTCAGGAAAAACACCCAGTTTTGGACACAAAAAACTTCCAGCCCTACGAGAGACATTTTTCTTTTCCCCTCCCCTTATTGTCAACCAAGAGCCAGTGTGGACTCTGCTGTTGTTTTGTTGAGGGAACTGGCTTCCACCAGTATCCCACAATGCCTGCCCTCTTGGCTGGGCTCAGTGTTTGGACAAAGTGCTGCCAGACCATTTGTTGTTTTTTAAGCCTAGTGGTTGTTTCCTTCAATGTTTGTTTGATTTCCATGGTATGTGATTAGTCACCCTAGTCCAATAGTGTCGTTTCTGCTCTCTGACTGGTCAAGAGGAACTTTTTATTCTATGGGCTAACAAATGGGGACAGCTGACTCCCTTTGGGGAACAGCTGACTCCCTTTGGGGAACAAGAGCAAATCATTGGACTACTCCTGTTCTGCCCTGCTAGGGACACAGCAGCAGGGAGGACTGGAGAGACAGCCGCGCTGCTTGCACATTCCTCAGCACAGAGAGCTCCCGGAGCTACAAGAGAACCCTAAGAAATGCAGGGATCAGCTCTGCCTTCCCACAACACTGCCCTGTGGGATGCTCCCCCATGTTGCTTTGCTTTGTCTGTCCACCGGGAGCGAGCCACGTGGCCATGAAATGTCGACAACGGGAGGCAGAAAAACGTTTGACCATTTTTCACT